ACTTATACTTTGAAAATTATAAAAACAGTATCCAAACAAATAAAGGGCCTTAAAGATATTTAATGTTCCTCTTTCATAAGAACAAATACTGTTAAAACAGTAATAATCTCTAAATCTATTTACAGATTTAATATAAGCTCTAGCAAAATCTCAGATTAATTTTTTGCAAAAATCACAAGCTGATCCTAAAATTCACATAGAGATGCAAGGATTTAAAACAGTTAAAGCAATCTTTAAAAAACAATGAGAGTCAATTGGGAAAGACTTATATTTCTCAATTTAAAAACATCATAAATCACAACAATTAAGAAATTATGGAATTGGAATAAGTACAGACATATAAGTCAAGGGAATAGAATTGAGAGTCCAGAAATAAATTGACATCCATATTCAGTTGGGTCCTAACAAGAATGTCAGCTCAAAAAGACAATATTTCCAATAAATTATATTGAGATAACTGGCTATCTATTTGGAAATAGATAAACAACGAAGTAAGACCCCAACTTTCCAAACTGACTCAAAGCAAATCAAAGATATAATTGTAACTCAAAATTACAAAAATTCAAGGAAAACATAAAAATAAATCTTCCCAACCTTGGATTAGGCAATGGTTTGTTAGACATAAAACCAAAAGTATAGCAACTACAACAGCAAAAACAAACTAGATAAATTGGACTTATTCAACACTAAAAATTTAGTCCTTAAAAGTATACTACCTAGAAAGCAAAATGACAACCCACAGAACAAGAGAAAATTTGGCAAATAATGCATCTGATAAATGCTTTGCATTCAGAATAAAGAATTCATACAAGTGAATAATAAAAAGTCAAGTAACCCAATTTAAGAACAGGCAAAGGGTCTAAACGGACATCTTTTCCAAAGAACATATACCATTAAACACACAAAAAGATGCTCGACGTCATTAATTACCAGGGAAAACAAATCAAACTCTCAATGACATACCAACTCACTCCCACCAGACAGGCTGCAGTCAAAAGACGGGAAATAACAAACACCAGTAAGGATGTGGAGTTGAACCCTTCTATACTGGTGTGTGAGGGATGCCAACTAGTTAGGCACTTTTGATAACAATCCAGTAGTTTCTCAAAACGCTAAATGTAGGGTCACCATTTGGGCCTGCAATTCAATTCCTAAGAATACACCCAAGAAAAAAAAATATGTCCACAGATCAGCAGTAATAACAGTAGCCAAAGAATGGAAACAAGCCAAACACACATCATATAACAAATGGATAAATAAAATGTGGCCTAGGCATACAGCAAAATATCATTTGGCAATAAAAATGAAAGTAATATCCTCTACATGAAAACATTATGCTAAGTGAAAGCAGTCAAAATGAGCCACATTTTATACCTCTGCTTATATGAAATATTTAGAATAGGCAACACCAGAAAGAATGTGAATTACTTGTTTTATAGACTTAGGACTGGATAAGGGATTAGAGTTTCTTTTCTGCAGAGATGACAATGTTTTATGTTTGTGGTCACAGTTGCACCATTCTGTAAATATATGAAAAGCCAATGAATTATACACTTTGCACAGGTGAATTATATGGTACATAAATTATATGTCAATGAGTCTGTTACTAAAACCTGCTAGAGGGCCTGACATGGTAGCCTAGCAGCTAAAGTCCTTGCCTTGCATGCAACAGGATCCCATATGGGTGCCAGTTCTAATCCTGCTGCTCCAGTTCCCATCCAACTCCCTGCTTATGGCCTGAGAAAGCAGTTGAGGATGGCCCGAAGCCTTGGCACCCTGCATCCACGTGGTAGACCCAGAAGAGGCTCCTGGCTCCTGGCTTCAGATCAGCTCAACTCTGGCCGTTCTGGCCGCTTGAGCAGTGGATCTATGGACAGAAGATCTTCCTCTCTGTCTCTCCTCCTCTACTAGAGTTGTTCAAAATGAATTCACTGGAAATAATGTTATGGCCTTTGGTTGCGGAAAGACTACAATGTAAAAGATCATTCAATCAGTAGCTTCTAAGAGCAATTCATTTAAAAAAAAAAAAAAGAAGAAGAAAAGAAAAGAAATAGCACAGAGAATTTGCCAGTCTTTGAGGTTCAAAGCATCTAATTCAGTAGGATTAGTGGGTGCCCAGACGTCTGTATTTTTTAACAGGCTTCCCAGATCATCCTCATGTACAATCACAATCGGTAGCCATTAAGACTAGATCTCAATGATTTCATGATACCCTGGTATCTGAGGTTTCCACTTACAGATCTGGCATCTATCTAACATTTGACATTCAGAACTCATCTCCCTGAATGAAGAGTCTGGCTTAGAAAGGGCAGCTTCATCTGAATCCGCGCATGTTTCTAGTAGCCTCCCTATTCCTATGCTTCAATCACCTCAAATCTTTTTTTCTAAAAGACCAAGTTTAATTAAGTAAAATAAGTAAGAGATTTTATATTATACATAAATTCTCTAAAGCTATTGTTCTCAAACTAGACCTCACTACAAAGTCCATTTTTTTCCTAAATATGTTTAATTTAATATCCTGATGTTTAAAAATACAGGTATTTAATCAAATAAAATGCAAATTGTTCATAAATGTTTAAGATAAACTAAAAGCTTCAGAAGAATCTCTACTTTGGACTGAACTCCAAGGCTGCACACTCAGTTCCCTTCTGCACTGAGTTGTCGTCTCTCAGGAGAAAACCACAAGTACAGGTATTCTGTTTCCCATTCCATGGAGCATGAGCTGCACCCAACTCCCTCCTTTCATTCAGAGCCCTAGGCAAAGCAGTCACATGACTAGTGTCTGGGCTATGATTACTTCAACAAGGGGTGGGGAGCAGGGGTTCTTAATTGAATCCAAGAATGATACCACAACCTGCTAACACTTGAGTTAAAAAGTCCTTCAAGACAAGCCAAGCTGAGGGAAATGGCTGATGAGAATCAAGCCTTCCCATTTATCCTGCTCCAGTGTTCTAGCCAGGTGAAAGCAAGCCGACTTTTTGGAACATCTGGCCATCACACGGCTAAAGAAGGGTGTGCTCCAGTTGCTTATCTGAGTTTGCCCAGTTTCCTGGTCCATGAAGCACCCCTGGACAAGCCCATCTGAGACCTTAGATGGACTAGCACTGAAGAGGAGTTTCCCTAGATTTGCAGTCTTTCTGTTTAGTGCTTCAATTTTCTGACTGTTCTTTTTCAGTTAATTTCTCAAAAACATTTGTGATAGCTTTACTCAGAAGCTAAACATCAAAAGAGTAGAGTTATAAAACTCAGCTTTGACACAAAATTATACAAATCTAGGTCAACTTTTTCAGTGCCAACATAGAAGAGTGGAATACAACAAATCCAAAGGCCCTTTCTAGCTTTTAAATTTTACACTTTCACCACACTTGCCAATATTAAAGATATGCATTGCAAATTACAGAGACAATCCCAAGGCATGTAGGGGCATGTTTTTATTCTTTTCACATAGCATTCCTCCTTACATAACACTAGCTCAAAGCCCCTTCTCTCTGCCCTCATGTCAGGTCTTCAACCTCTCCTCAGTCCACTACACTGACCACGTGGTCATTGGATGATTTTTATCATCTCTTTCTATGGCTTTTAGCTCAGCATTAAATACAGAACCCAATCTTCTCCCAATTTCTAACCTTTCCTAGCCCTTTCTTGTATTAACTTACATTTTAGTAAGTCTGTCAATGTTCGTTTCTGCAATATAGCTTCTACAAACCTGCTTACAATACTCCTTCACACAAGATCCTCCTGCCATACTTCGCACTTTTTGCTCCACTCTTCTAGAATGAGTACAAATCTCACTTCTATTATAAACTTTTTCTGGTCACTTTCTTTACATTCCTGTGGCACTGAGCATGTAACACATTCTTCAACATCTAGCATATATGACCCTTCACTGTATGGATTCAATGCAAGAGAGGGCTATAATGATACTTCTACCTTATTTTCTTCAGGTAAGTACTCAGCCTTAAGAAGAGGTAAACAGATAACACATGGCATCTGAAGAAGCCATATTTAATTTATCATATCTAAGAATCAAATTAAATCACGGCTTTTGTACAATTACCTCAAACTTTACAACAAATCCATTTTTCTTGCCAACAGTATTTTTACATCTGTGGTCTAAAATTTAACACATTGTTTAGCTCAGGTGGAGAAATTCCCCCTTAAAAAGGGAGGATTCATGGTCAACTTCAAAATATTCCCAAGTCATCAAAATTTCAATTGCGAAACTTTAGCAAGACAAAAAAAAATTTCACAAAGCAAAACTACGGACACAGTTTTAAACAATTAAAACTCTTAAGATCTATATCACAATACGTTAGCACATAAAAAAGCAGAGAGAGAAGCTTCTTGTTTGATCAGAGCAGATTAAGCAAAGAGCACGCGTTTTTCTCCAGCATAGACATGTAAAGCACACAACTTTTATATAAAACCCATGTGTTTGGGCAAGTACCAGCACTCATGTCCCTAGTGTTGACTATTTCTGCTTTACTTCCAGGAACATTTTATTTCAACTACAAAGATTTTGGTTTTGCTTCATAAAGAACACTTAATCTGATTTCTACCCAGCTGATAATAATACTGAGATAATGTGGGGACAAGGCCAAATTTGCCACTTTCACTTTCATGCAAACAGCTCTTGTGGAGCCAGGAAATACTCTCCTAGCAAGCCTGGCGATGAAGTGTTGGTAATCACAAGAAAACTGATTGCAGACAAGAAATATTAAGTTGAAACAAAGAAAATGTTTTCAACATGTCTTTGTAAACTGGAGTAAAATTATTTCAACCAATCTGCTAGAGTTTTTCACGAATTTAAAAGAGTCTGAAAGTAAAACTAATAAAAAAAAATCTCTTTTTAACTCTCGGCAACATCAAAAGTTGTAGCTATTTCACAGTAAAAAGAAAATAAGGACAGAAAAATATCACATGTTTGACAAATGCATCCATTAAGCAGTTGTCAAAAGCCAATTTTGTTTTCTTGCCACCAATTGGTCTGTGGAACTCACGTGCAGAGCTGCGGGGTCCGGCAGAAACTCGGCATCCTCTCCAAAGATAAAATCAGGGGGCAGCTCTGGGTACTGGGCATTGAAAATGATATCCCCTGGAAGAGAAGACAATGACAGGCACTCCTTATATTTTCTTGCTAATGTATGAATGGTCTGAAGAATGGATCAGAAATTTATATTAGCTTAAGAAATAAAAACAGTGAAAACTCTTTACTAAGTAGTTAGTACATAAATAACACTCTTTTAAATTAATACATACAAGTAGTCAAAAAGTTTGATCTCCAAACAACACACTATGATTATGTTTCAAAACAGAATTGAGCAGCCTCATCCAACATACATGCCAGTTAATTTTATAGAAAACATTCTTGTCTAATAACTTCCCACTAATGATCAACTTCTAACTTCTGCAGATTTCAGCTTCCTCCGAAGTAAAAGGGACACAACTATGCTTTTGTATCACAGAACAAATAGAAGCAAATGCCAAGACTGTTCCAGTCCCACATAAACACCCAACACACACTCCTGCCACAGGAATATTTTGAAACATAAGATAAATTTCAAAGTCTCATGGATAAATCTGTTATAAGTTTTCCCATCTCTGTTTTTCTTCATATCTCCTTCTTTTTTTGCTCCCCCCCTCAAAATATCTTCACCATTCCTCTAACAGTGACAAGCAGATTTGTTTGTCAATAATCATAAACAACTCAGGTTATAGTCTATGAAGGTGTTTGTATTTGTGCACATATGCACACCTCTGCACACATGTGTACAACAGTTTTATCAATCCAATAATTTTTTACTATGAAAACAATAATCTACATGATATCCAAAATTAAACATTCAGATTTCAGTTCTAATTTGAGCCCTTAAATCCTTATATACTAGGCATTTCAATGCCAAACTCAGCAAGTCTAAAAACACAATGATGACTATCCCCTTTCCCCTAAACGACTTCCTGTTTCTTGGCTAGCACTGAAACTCATGCTGAAACTTGAATGTCATCTTTAACCTTACACACCCTTCACACTCTTAGAAAACAATTATATCGTTTTTCTTCCAAATGTCTCTCATATGACTTTTTCCTAACGCCTAAATGTCTATCTAGGCCTACATTACCTTATCCATATATTGACTGAATTATAAGTGAATTCCCCTCAGGCACTATGTTAGGCACCCATGATCAAAGAACCTTGCTATTAAAGAACAAGGCTTCTAGCCTTATGGTCCAGACACCCTCATCCCACATCACAGTAAATACAGGATTGTAAGCTCAGCTCCTTACCAGCTTTCTGCCAAGGCAGAGCCTGGAACGCAGTGGTGATGGCTCAAATAACTGAGTTTCTGCCACTCATGGGGGAAAACCTGAATTGTGCTGCAAGCTCCTATCTCCAGCCCTGGTGCAGTCGTGGTCATTATGAGCATTCAGGAGTGAACCCATAAATGGGGTTGCACTCACTATCTCCCCTTTCCTCCCTTCCACTCACTCCACCTCTCAAATAAGGAAAACATTAACAAACAGACCAAAACCAGCTACCTCCAAACCTTAATAATATAACCAAGTAAATCTTAAAGCACTATCTTCCCCAAATCTTTGTACTTGAGAAAGCGCAAATGAGTCTCTAAACCAAATGGAATAAAAACGGGCTTTTCAAATTTTGACTTAAGGCCTCTAAAATATGGTGTCCCAGGCCCGGTGGCATGGCCTAGCAGCTAAAGTCCTCACCTTGAACGCACAGAGATCCCATATGGGCGCCGGTTCTAATCCCGGCAGCTCCACTTCCCATCCAGCTCCCTGCTTATGGCCTGGGAAGGTAGTCAAGGCCAGCCCCAAAGCCTTGGGACACTGCACCCATATGGGAGACCTGGAAGAAGTTTCTGGATCCTGGCTTCGGATCAGCATAGCATTGGCCGTTGTGCTCACTTGGGGAGTGAATCATCAGATGGAAGATCTTTCTGTCTCTCCTCCTCTCTGTATATCTGACTTTGCAATAAAAATAAATAAATCTTTAAAAAAATATATGGTGTCTCTACCAATTAATTCACCCTTTTCCCTATCTGCAAACCAGTATCAATCTTCTGTTCCAATCAGTATGATCTGCCAAATGGTTCACAAATACTATAACATCTAAACCCATTCTTATTACTTTCTCTTGCAATAGGGCCACAATAAATCTGAAAAATAATGATAGCTGTTGTTGATATACAATAGTACTAATTATGACACTGAATATTTAATTACATATAAGCTTACATTGTTTTGTCCCTCTATTAATGTAAAATGTTCACAGTAGGCTCAACAGCAGTGAGGTACTATGATGTAGTGTGAATATAAAGGTAGCTAAGGTTTAACTACATATGAGAGGGGACTAAATAAAGCTCATTGAAAAATATTAAGTAGCTCAAGAAGAGTCTGAGCTAGAGGTTTGGGAGCTTTGCTACCCCAGCTATGTGGCTGTGGGGAACTCGGGTGAGGTCAGTCTTGAGGCTTGGGATTCTAGCTCCATCCACTGCTGCCATGCAGTGGGCAGATCCTGAGCTAGCCTGGGCTTGAGGCTGGATATTTTTCTCTGTCCGCAGCTGCCATGCTGTGGGCAGATCTTGAACGAGTCTGAGCTGGAGGCTTGGGAACTTTGTTCCCCCAGGTGCATGGCTACAGCTGGGGAATCCCAGCTGGGTGACCTGGGTACAAAGGTGTCAGACTAAGCCCTTGGGCCACCTGGTGGTGTACTCTGGAAACTTGAGGGTGTGAGGTGACAGGGAGTCTAGGGGATGGCACAGGTTGGAACAAGCAGGGACCTGATGGTTCATGTCCAGGTAAGGAATGACTTCTGAGGGACTTCCATGGACAAAGCTACTCTACTCAAGGGGCTAGAACATGGAACCCACCAGCGAATGTCAGAAAAGGAACAGGTACCATGGGGCTGGACCAAAAAGCCAACAAACATGTGAGTGAATCGGGTCTGGGGGTAGAATCTGCAGGGAGTATGTGGGCTCACCTATGGTGAACAGCAATCTCCATGGGCACACAAAAGGTTTGTGGCTGGGAACAGATCTGGTTGGGAACTAAGGGAACATCCTGGCCGAGTAGGAATTCCCGCTGGTGAGTGCAAGAGCTGGAACGGGGTTTGGGGCTGAGATGGACATCGCTTCAGTCTCCCTTGGCACAGGTGTGGACTGGGTCTGGGGAGTAACAGACTAGACTAGACTCCAGCACGCACTGGTACTTGTGAGAGTCAGGGTGGTTGTAGAACCGGCTGGGCTATGTCTCAGCTCTCACTGAACCATGTGAAAGCTGTGTCTGGGCACAGACAAGGTGTGACTGGGCTGCAACATCCAACAATAAGAACTGGAAAAGATATGGGCCAATTGGGCAGGGACACCATTCCTGCCAGGACAAGAGGTGAACAAAGTCAACCTGAGCCGGTGTGCGCAGGATCTGCAACTGAGAGGAAACCAGACAGATGACCTTGGGAAACTCTCTGTCAGGATGCAGTCACTGTAGGTAAGTGCAAGAAGTAATGCAAAGAAGAAAGAATCTTGACTGAATTTGTAATGCAATACTGCAACAAGGTGGAGGAGTCCACCATGGGGGGAGGCCATAGGGAGGGGTTGGGGGAATCCCGGAGCCTATGAAACTGTCACATAATGCAATGTAATTAATTTAAAAAAAACTTTGCACCCATTAAACAGCACTTTTCTTCTTGCTATAAAGAAGAAGAAGAAGAAGAGAAAAAAGGAAAAGGAAAAGGAAAAGAAAAAGAAAAAGAAGTAGAAAAAAAAAAAGAAAGAGAAAATGAAGAACTAACACAAAGAACAGCCCAAATAAGGCCAGGTTACAATACTGTCATGAACACCAAGCCCGGTCACTCAAACGCCAAGAGTCAAGAGTGGATGCTTTGCAATCAAGCATTCAAGCATTTATTCAGGCGAGCACACACCAAACAGGATGGGGGAAGCCAGTGAGAGTGCCTCTTGACTTCGGTCTCGTGGAAGTCTGCTAGGCCTTTGGCTCCGGCCTCGTGGGAGCCTGCAAGTTCGAGTGGAAGCCCAAGACCTTGGCTCCGGTCTAGTGGGAGCCTACTGGCTTCTTTGGCTCCGGCCTTGTGGGAGTCTGCAAGTTTCGGATGGAAGCCCAGGGGCTTTGGCTCCGGTCTAGTGGGAGCCTGCTGGCTTCAGTGACTGGGACAAATGCATGGGTTTATATACAAATCCAGGGGCAAGGCAGGCAGGTGTTTACAATGTTTTGATTGGTTATTACATATTATCTATCAGTAACACTTGCTTTCTCTCAATTCTAAGAAACATGCATATTCATTCTCAAAACATACATATTAATTAGTATACAATTGTTTCTTCTTTATCATTTTTACCATGACATGCTTACGTACATTGTGGCTTCTTGACAAGAGTGATAAGGGGAGGGCTTGCGCACATAGGAGTCTCTTGACAGGAGTGATAGGAGAGGAGTGAGAGAGGAGGCCCCATTTCACCAGTAGTTTAGGAAGATGGAGTCACCTTTGTTAAAAGACTCTAACATACACACTATATCCATTATTAAGTCACAGCATAACTTGCAAAGGAGGTCGATTATTGCAGCTATCTCTGGATCATCAATTTCTGATAAAACTGTAACAATATTAAGGAGACAATTAAGATTATTAATAATACTCTAACCCATATTTCCCAAAGCTCCATTTTTATTTATGCTCATATATTGCTGGAGCAATGTAAATGTGGAGTACTTATAGTCATACTGTTCCTATCAAGTACCCAACAGCATACATGTGGCTCAGGTCTGGTGATAGGCCAGGCTGGGCCAGTTCATAGCATTCACTGGCATATCTGAGAAACAGAATGGGGTGCAGGAGGGGTAGGTTGGGCCACAACACCAGCCAGTTCACACTGGAGTCAGGACAGGGGGCTCACTGAGCAAGACTAGGCTGCAGCACCAACCAGTATAAGCTGGAACAGGTGGCAGGTTAAATTGAACCAGGCTGAAGCACCCGCAGGTAGATGTCGAGGTGAGATGAGCCATGCCAGTCTGGGGGCAGTGGGTGCCGGGTCCATGAGCCCCACTGATGGAGAGGCCCTC